ACTTGCTCAAAGGACAATTATACTACTTCTTAAACAAAGTGTTAAATGCGCACCTGAGAAGGATGAGTTTTTAAATCCTCCTCTTCCTCTACCCCGTCCACCACGACCTGGAAGAACACATTTAAATCACTCAGTGTCACGCAAGACGCTTCCTGTAAGGGCTCCATCGTCTTTCTGCACTCACCTCCTTGAAATTCACCACGATCAGAGCTCCAGAAATCTCCTTGTGAACCTAATAACATGTTTGTTTCAAATACAGAATAAAACCAAAATAAATCTTAACCTGCCTCCAATCTTTATTTTAATCCTTGGAAGAAAGAATTAAAGCAGACAAGTGGAACATACCTCCATTTGAGGTGTGGCTGGTGAGTGCACAAGTACCAGAGGTAGCGGTTTCCTGTAAACACGGGCAATTTCAGTCGGACGCTGCCTGACTGGCTCAGCGAAGTGGCCTTCGGATATTACACTAGCTTACCTGTTCTTCCCACTCGTCCATTCTTGCTCACCTGAGGAAAAAAGTACCACAAGAAATTTTGTAAATCACATACGATAACGAAGACGCCTTTTTTTTTGTCGCTTTCATTCCGACATGAAAAGCTAAACTTTTCCTGAGAATCTGCCACGTGACGACTACCACGCGAGAAATGATATGCACTTAAAACAATACAATTGTTTTAACAAATACTTACAATGCTCAGGTGTCTTTAATCAAAACGTCGACTGTTGCAAAGCAAATGTGGCTGTAAATGCTCACTCTGAAGTACAGAAAATGACTTCGCGCTTCTTCTAGCTAATCAAGAAACATCGAGCACGCGGGAGCAGGGCGGCGGCTAACTTCCGCCCTCAATTTAGACGCAAACACGAAATAACGCTTTAAGTCATGTGTTTGCACAGTTAAAATTAGTCATTTTTAAAGCACTGTTTCGAGAATACACTCACAACAACAAAAAAAACACAAGTGGACGTAAAATGCGACACCTGTTAGCATTGGAAGCTCTATTTTTAGCTATAACTAAAAACAGCAAGACGGGATTAATAAAACTGATAATAACTACATCTTGTTCTTCGAAAATTGGTTTCATAAGTGACAGTAATGTAGTAAAACTAGCCCAGGTAGAATAACCGTACTTTGAGTGTCTTCACAGATGAGATTCTTCCTCGAGGTGCAGCCTGCTCGTGCGCTCACCGAATGGGGCGCGCGCATGCACAGCGCACAACCCGCAAACTTGCAACTTCCGCCATTTTCCCGCCCAACTGGATTTTTGAAAATACAAGAAATAAATATGAAGAATTATAAACTTTCCCCCTGTAAATAGCTTCTAATAGAACATTTTTAAATATAGTTCTGTTGGCAAAATTGTAGAACTTGAAGGCTGTTGCACAACTACTGGAAAATGTCATTCTGCTTTCTTTCAGTTTTTAATATTCTTTTATAATAATAAAAGAATATTAAAAACTTTTTAAAAAGTTGTTAGTTCAAAAAGTTTAAAACGCTGTGTAAAAAGTAACCCTTTGCAGTGGATGTGATATATAAAAGCCTTATTAAACTACCACTAAATCCTTTACACTAAATTCAACCTATTGGCTATTATTTTCAGTGCAATAAAATAAATCTGCTAGTGTTTACCGATTTTCTATCTCCAAATAATATCATTCACAATAAATTAGAAACTATTCACCTGCTCAATCTCGTTGCGCATAGAGTCTGCACTGCTATCTGCTGGAAAACTACACAATTGCACGTCCACTGCTAAATGTGATTGTCACATTGCACACACTCATACTTGTATTGATATAACTTTGACCAGGCAATAATTTAAAAAAAAAATAGAGCAAATAATAATTGCTGTAAGTTTCTGCTGGGAGGCCAACAGACTGTGTATTCCTATTATTGTTCCCAAGCTCCCCAAGACAAATGGGGAGGACAGAACAGTGTAAAAGCAGTGCCAGATCAAAAATGGAGATTATTAGGAATGAGATTTCCATATCAGTTGGGACCCAAGTTAACAACACTTATCAAACACTGACTCTCTGATAATTGTATTGGAGAGCAGCTCATTGTTCACTATTTTATATGTGCGCTGAAGCAGCCAGCGGCTGAACTGCCAACCCTCCAACTAGCAGATGAGCTGGTCTACCTGAGCTACAGCCTGCTGACAAGACAAGAGGAAGGGGGGAAGGTGTGTTAGGAGGCAGTGAGGGTGACAAAAAAGCAGGAGTGTGGAGGTGAGAGGTGGGACTATGACTGATAAAGGGAGATGGCAGATGGTATGTAGAGAAGGAAGGCAGTGTGTTTGTGTGTGTACAGGAGACCAGGTGGAAGGGAAGCAAAGCCAGGAGCACTGGAGGTGGATTCAAACTATTCTACCATGATGGAGAAGGAAAAATAGAGTAGTGGACAGGAAGAGTATGGGAATAGTGTTGTGCAGGTGAAGAGAGGGTCAGACAGGGTTGAGTTTGAAGCTGCAAATCAAAGGAGTGATGTGCAATGTTGTCAGCGTGTATGTCCAAAGGGCGGATGTTAGCTAGAAGAGAAAGCTAGATGAAGTGGAGGAGGGTCTCCCCAGGGTGGAGAGCATTGTGAGGGGGATGTAGGTGAAGGCTGCCGATGGGGAGGTGTTTAGGAGGCATGGTGTTAAGGAGAGAAATGCAGAGCGTCAGATGGTGTAGATTTTCTGAAATGAATGGAAATGGCTGTGGTGAACATGAACTTTAAGAAGGAGGAGGCAGATAGGAGGACGTCAGAATTGAAGAAAGTGAACACAGGTGGACTCGTGCTGAAAATGCAACATGAAAGTGGTAGGAGACTGTAAGGTGGTGGCAGGGGAGGAGGTAGGGAGCATCAGATGGTAGTCTGTAGGATGGCTTTGGACATCAAGAAGAGTAATCAAGTGAAGGTAGAGCCAAGGATTAAATGATGAAAGCTGAAGAAGGAGGAACGTCGCACAGAGTTCAAGAGGGAGTTGAGATGCTAGGGAAGAGTTACCAGCTGGGAAACTACAGCTGAATTAGTGAGGAACAGGTCAGGAAGGTGTTTGGTGTATCCTCTGGACTAAGGAAAGTGGACAAGGACACTTGTTGGTGAAATGACAGCGTAAAGGAAAGTATTTAAAGGAAGAGGTTGAAACAGTCAAGGAGAGATGGGAGTGCAAAGACTGGCAAAAAGGAAAATGCTTCACTGAGGAAGGAGAATGAGACTCAATTAGTTAGCTCCAGATGTCACATCAAATACACCAGAATCTGCCTGACTATAAACAGATCTATAGACTAATGTACACATATACTTGTCATCTGTGTGAGCTAGCTGAAGCAGTTTATGTAAGCCATCTTTTATATCCTATGCCTTGTCCTTAACACTTCACTTATATATTCTTTATAAATGCTAAGATCTTTCAACTTAAACACCGTGATCCATGTACTTACGCAATAAGATAAAATGATATAATCTATATTTATAATATAATATATCTTTTTTCCAAATTGTTTGACACAAGCAATAACAAAATGGGTTATCCATCCATTAATACATTTTTTCCGCTCATCCAGGGCCGAGTTGCAGGAGCAACAGCCTAAGCCCAGACTTCCCTCTCCATAGGCATCTCGTCTAGCTTGTTCCCAGGCCAGCCGAGAGATATAATCTCTCCAGTGTGTCGCGGGTCTCCCCCAGCGCCTCGTCCCAGTGGGACATGCCCTTAGAGATAGGATGAGGGGCTCAGAGTAGAGCAGCTACTCCGCCACATTGAAAGGAGCCAGCTGGGGTGGTTTGGGTATCTGACAAGGATGCCTTTCCCAGGAAATGCCCAGGAGGGCTTCCTGAAAGAGGCCAGCCACCCTTCCAAGAGAGCTCCTGTCCACTGCTATGATGTCATTCTTTTGGTCACCTTGAGCTTGTAAACATAGGTGAGGGTGGGGATGTAGACTGACCAGTAAATGGAGAGCTTTGCTTTTAGACTGGTACAGCGTCCTCATCACTGCAGCCACAGTACTTAATACTGACATACTTAAACCCAGAGTGGGCACTCCACCCCTTTTCCAGCTGAGGACCATGGCCTCAGACTTGGAGGTGCTGACTGTCATTCCCACCACTTCACACTTGGCTGCAAACCACTCCAGTATGAGCTGGAGTCCGCCATAGGATGAAGCCAACAAATCCACATCATCTGTGAAAAGCAGAGATGAGATTCTGGACCACCCAAGTAGAAGCCCTCGTGCATAAAAATTATGAACACAATCAGTGATAAAGGGCAGCCCTGATGGAGTCCAACACCTACCAGGAACGAGGGTTAGGGTTATGTTAAATAAAGCCAAATAAACGCATTGTTCTATAAATAAGAAAGGAAAGGAGGACCATTAAATAGAAAAAACATAAAATAATACAATCAAATACAATAAAAGGTAAAAATTGCAATCACAATAACTAAATACAGAAAGAATCTAGACAATATACCAAGTGGCTGACGTTCAGTTAATAAACAACACTAAACAGACTCCAAATTTTGAATGACCAGAGCATCAAGACTCTTGTGAAACCTTTATGTGACTGTATGTGCACGACTATATTTTGAATGTTTGTGTTTTTGGTCAAGATTTAGAAAATGACCAGTGATCGTATCCAGAACTGTTAGAAGCGTAAATTTCCATTGCAGCTGACGCTCTTTATTATCCAACCCAGATGAAACAGTGATGGTTTGGTGTGGTATATGGGG